CCCTCCCTTTTGTGCTCCAAATTCTGTAACAGAAGTGAAGTAAGCAAATCAAAGTTTAAGAAGCGGTAAGTCTATTACATTTATTTTTAAGAGAATCCTGCGCATTGAAAATTGCTAAGCATGGATTTTGGTGACCGGAGAGCCAGCCTTGCCAGGAACCAACTGCGCATTTTCTCCTTCATCTTTTTGTATCATTACAAAAACATGGCTAGATACAGAGGTGAGGGTCACCATTTTACATTTTTGCTTTGGGTGCTGAAATGTCTAAGGCCAGCGCTGGGTGATTGCCAACAGCTGGTGAAATGTCAAGCATATGCTATTGCCTTATACAAAAGCAAAGGAAAAAGATGCTTTGCATATCACGCTGCAGGCAAGGACTCTGGTTGGTTTCTGTTTCAGCACCAAGGACATGGACAGATCCGCAGATACTATTGAAGACTGCCCTGGAATTTGGCGTGACACACTCCTTCTGTAATACACTTTGCAACCTGCATTTTCTAATTGTGGAGGTGAACCTGTCTCAACACTAGGCCAAATGATGGAAAACAGAAATGAGGCCAGTGTACACGGTGAGCTGTTGTGATGGCCATAAGCTGGGAGAGGAGAATTCATGAAACTTGAGTGCCTAGCCCAGGAGGCTGTAGTGACATCCACAACAGAGTGACAGGGTAGAGAATGACAGGCTGCACAACTGATCAAGCCTATTTTTATTTTTGTTCACTGTGCTGAAATATATGATGAAGGGTAGTGTCAGGGGTTCAGGGAGAGAGGCACAGGGTAGGCAGGAGATGGAGAGCGATGGGGAGGAATTCCAAGCCAGCGAGGAAGAGGATGACAATGACTCAAGAGATTCCATGAGTCTTTCCAGCGAATCAGAGGATTCCCAGAAGGGGGCGCCGGTGGTCAAGGCCAGGGGAGCCCCAGAGGGGAAGTGTCAGGAGCAGGGTGCCAGCGGAGGATCCCAAAGTGGCAGCTGGGCGTCAGGACCAGCCTCCCCACCAGAGTGCAGCGAAGGGGGTGGAGTTTCCAGTGTGTCAGAGGAAGCAGCTCCAGCAGCAGAGAAAGGAGGGGGGTCAGAGCATGCCGCCCTCCCGGATTGGGAGGGGAGCAGTGAAGGGAGTAGTGTAACTGTCAAAGGAAAGTTAGAGGTTTGGCGCGCGCGCCTAGTTCAAATGTAGAGGCGCGCGGAAGTGCAGGGAGCCCGGAGGAGGGGCCAGGTCCCAAAGCCCGCAGGAGGGGGGGAAGAGCAGTCTGGGGATTCCGCGTCAGAGGAATCCAGGAGGGGCGAAACCCCAGTGGGCAGAAGGACCCTGCGGAAAAGGAAGGAGAGAAAGAGGTGGAGCAGCGCAAGTCTCTTAAATTGGTGCAGGGGAGGAACTGACTCAGAGGGGACTTCGGCGGTCTAGCGTAAGAGACGTAAGGCTGCGCGCCTAGGATGTCAAGCAAACCATGAACTGCAATAAACACTTTTGTATATAAGAAGACAGAGGCGTTGGTCTTTTGTGAGCTAAGACTTGAGGCAGCCTTGACAGGTAGTATAAAAAAGAAGGCTGATCGCCGAAGAATTGATGCTTTTGAATTATGGTGCTGGAGGAGACTCTTGAGAGTCCCATGGACTGCAAGAAGATCAAACGTATCCATTCTTAAGGAAATCAGCCCTGAGTGCTCACTGGAAGGACAGATCGTGAAGCTGAGGCTCCAATACTCTGGCTACCTCATGAGAAGAGAAGACTCCCTGGAAAAGACCCTGATGTTGGGAAAGATGGAGGGCACAAGGGGAAGGGGACATCAGAGGACGAGATGACTGGATAGTGTTTGCGAAGCTATAAACATGAGCCTGACCAAACTGCGGGAGGCAGTGGAAGACAGGAGTGCCTGGCGTGCTCTGGTCCATGGGGTCACGAAGAGTCGGACATGACTAAACGACTAAACAACAACAAGTATAAAAATATTTTAAATAAACAAACAAGCCAAAAAACAGTCAATTTTGATGCTCCAAGCACAAGAAGTAACTGCAAGATGACTAGCTAGATATGCGGCAACTCCTGGTCCTTGTAAAACCTGAGTTGGGCTTCCTCTCTGGTCTGAGCAATGAAAGAATTAAGACTTGCCTTCCTTCAACCTGGCACAGTGCTGATTTGCATTGCATTTGTTGTGCTCCATCTTTGCTCCTATTTGTCATGCATGCTTTCTTTCCTTTGTGTCCAAGTGAGCTGGTTTATGTATGCAGGATGCATCCAAAGAAGGGGGTGCAGTTTGCTTGTCTGTCACTCTCCCTGACTGACTATTAATGTTTGGTTATTTTTAGTCTGTCACAACAGCACAACAAGGCAACAGCACAACAGGGTGGGTGGGGAGATCTGAGCCATCTGGTCAGCCAAACTGAGGACTTAGTTGGTTCCACCCAGAGGTGAAATTGCTCAACAGTTTGGTTCTCTCAAAGGAGCGTGACTCCTTTGACTTTGGGAGTTGCTCTTTGTCTCTTGTGGGACGCTAATTGTCCTCATTAATAACTGAAGATAAAAGGCAAAAAACCCCACAATTAAAATACTTTTTCTGACAGTTGTGATGGAGTGACTGAATAGGATTTCCTCTTCCTCCCTACAGAGTGGATAGTTTCCAGCTCCCCTTAAAACTTCATAACATACCACATTCTTGATATGGGTGACTTGACCCTAAAACAGTGATGGCATGGAACTTTCAGTGGGCAAGGTGATGGATGTGTGTCCCTTGAATAGTAGTGGAAGATACTGAGTGGCAAAAGACTGTAGAGCAAATAGGAGATGTGCTATTGGAAAAAGTCAGAGAAACAGGATGAATTCGGAAACTTGTTAACAATTCACTTAGAGCAGGCATAGGCAAACTCGTCCTTCCAGATATTTTGAGACTACAACTCCCATCATCCCTAGCTAACAGGACCAGTGATCAGGGATGATGGGGGTTGTAGTCCCAAAACATCTGGAGGGCCGAGTTTGCCTATGCCTGACTTGGAGGAAAGGGCCCATCACTCCTGGGATCTCAAGGAGAGAAAACTACAAGGTTTTATTTTGTCAGTGCTTTGTGACATTAGCAGGCAACATAAAAACCTCCTCTTTACTCTCCTTGCCTACTTGCTTGGTTAAAAATCCCAAACTCTAACTGGCGATCTGGTGGTGTGCATTTTATGTGGCTAATTCAGAAAAGGTTGCTTAGCAACTGGGTGGCCCAGGCCTCAGTTTGTTACTTAGGTTGCTTCAACACTAAGGCCAGATCTGCAGTAGTCATTAAACCACTACAGTGCTGAATTTTGGAGGAGGGATAATGCCCAAAAATTATATTGGGAATTCATTAGGCATCCCAAGCCACAAGCCTGACACTCATGTAATGGGAGCATCCAACAGAGAAGTGAGAGGCTGGATAGGGATGCTGATCATCTGAAAGTGAGTAGCAGAGAAAATTTACTTTTTTGTAGGTGTCTCAATAACGCTTAATACATAACACTGTTTACCCAGGCAATTGATGGCTGTAAGATACTGCCTATGGCAATCTTGGAATGAGGAACCATGAGGGTATGTGATTGTTTTAAAATGTTTTAGATGCTCTAAATCAAGGCAGCCCAACTTTTTATACCAAGTGGGCCGCAAGAGTACTTTGGTATAGAACCTGCAGGTCGCACACTGCTTTGTTGCGTGGTGCAGGGGAGCGAGGCAAAAATATGATGCTCCCCTGCCCTCACGCTGCCTTCCCTAAGCCGGCAAGGCTCCAGGCTTTGGGAAGGAGGCACGATGCTCTGGCAGGGTCCTAGAACCCTCCTGTCTCCTTCCCAAAGCTGGGAAAGTGCTAACTAGGCTTTAGGAAGGAGGAGGGAGGACTCTGGGACCCTGTCATAGCCCTCCTTTCCCTAGCATTGGGAAGGCAGTGCAAGGACTGGAGGGTGTGTGTCAAATGTTGCTCAGGACTATCAAATAAGGCATTGAGGGCCGCATTTGGCCCTCAGGCGCTGCATTGGACCATCCTGCTCTAAATATTTTTGGATGGTTTTAAATGTTTTTATTTTAAATTGTGTGGTTTTAGTTTTTTAATGTTTGCCACTCCAGGATAGAAATTTCATAAACAACAACAAATAGTAATAAATATTATTATTATTAACAAAGAGAAAACAACATCTACACAGACACACAAGGGGAAAACAATTTTACTGAACAGAAAAAAAGCACGAGGATGAATTTTATCTTGGAGCCTATTGTTCCAGAGCATAATAAACACTATCCACTTTTCAATGAATTCATTATTTTGCAATTCCGTATGGTTCATCCAATTGTAAGTTTATTTTGATATGAGAGTTGTGAACCACATAGCACTTTGATACAGATGGTATCTCTTGCTTTCCTCCACAATGAGCTGCCATACACATTTTAGCATCTGTGCGTAGACTTATTTCTAACTCTATAACAATGCTGTCAACAATTTTTTTGAGAAAACATAATAAGACTTGGGATCATAGGCTATCAAATCCTCTAGCATCTCATTAAGCAATTACCCTCTCAAAACTATGTGTAAGGGAACATATCCAGAATGTATGTTTTAATCTTGCAAGCTTTGGCTCACTCTGCTTCACAACAGCAACCTGTGACCTACAGCAAAGTACAAATACAACTTAATTTGTGTTGTGTCAGATACCGCTTTTTAAATGATCAGAGATATATTTAGATGTTATATTACCCTGTCCATTCCTGTTCTATAACTGGTATCTTATACTGTACCCCAAATCTCTTTTCTGTTTCTTAAAAGAACAAACCTTAGATGATGAACTATTCCATTTTCAACAGCACAGTTGTGTGTAAAACCTACCAATCAAATGAGAGATAATTTTTCCTTTTATTAGATATATTTATCTAGAAATGTAGAGATGATATGCCTAGTCTGTTTAACTGTACTTTCTGCATTGTTGTGTACCATTTTCCCATTGGTTGATCCCCCCCATGGTGAAGGTTCAAATACATCCTTCATCATGAGGAAGAGCCATTGCTCAGCGGTAGAGCATCTGCTTTGCATGTGGAGGGCCCCAGGTTCAGTCCCTGCCATCTCCTGGTAGGGCTGGGAGAGAACCGTGTTTGAAATCCTGGAGAGTTGCTGCCAGCCCGTGCAGGCATTACTGAACTAGATGGAACAATGGTCTGAATAAGCAGAAGGCAGCTTCCTATGTAGAGGCTTGGCTCAAGGAGTGGGTTTGCCAGAGCAGGCTAGCCTCCTCTGTCAGTTTCTTGAATAAAGTTCCCATTTCTTGTAATTTTCCTTGGTTGGCCCCTAATCTATGTACCTTGTAGTTTGTAGATTTAGGGGTATTTAGTGACAGTCAAGGTTTTTGAAGGACAGGTAGCATTAAAAGATTGACACTGCTGGGGTTGTGATGCAGCGGGCAAATAAAAATTTCATCCAAACCGGGTGGAAATGGAAAGGGCAGATTACATGCATGGTTAACCCAGATTATCTACAATATTATGAAAGAAGTTAAACAGTGAGCCAATTTAGGTCAGATAGCGAGAGAGAGATAACAAAGCCCCAAAGGCTCCTGTGGAGACATCTTTGAGAGGAATAGTGGCTGAGAAAGCAATGTTTTTTTCTTCTTGCCACGAGAATTGGTATTTTAATAATACAAGGAATGCCTGAAGTCAGTTTCTCATCGGTAGAAATATTAGAGGCTTCCCCTCGCTCCAACCTTTGCTTATCTGAGGGAATCCCTTGCATAAAAAAATGTTGTCTTAATGAAGTTTCGCATCGGGATATAAGAACAGCTAATGCTGTGTGAGCTGCCTGCTCAATGAGGAACAAAAGTAATATTCTGTGGCCATCTGATGGCTCATAGACTTTAGGAGGGACCTTTGAGGATGAGAGGCTAGCAAGCCTGTGTCCATTCTGGAGCTCTCCTTTGCCATCTCATAACACATCTCATTGTGATGACCAAGCACAAACATTTGTGTGAAGGGTCTCATGTTATTCCTCGTTTCCAACATATTTGTTAAGTGGGCTGCTTTTTTTCCCATTTGTGGAACAGGTCCTTTTTATGCATTGATTTGTTTGTTAGGATGAGCAAAATGTCTCTGTGTGGTGGTGGGGGGCAGGCACAATGGGCTCGGAAAATAAATCTCTGTAAAAGGCTACATGATGTGCAGGCATGTACAATGCCAAGGGAAAAACAGATGGCAAAGTTTAGTGATTAGGTGGGTATGTCAGACTAAAAACCCTGCTACAGGTAGGAAAGGAGTTGCAGAACAATGTTCATTTTCTCCACAGGATTAGTTATAGGAAAATAAGAAGCATTGTCTTAATGAGTACATACAAGAGGCCTCCTCCCTTTAACACTCTCCTTGAACACATGGAGAGCAATAGAGATGAAGGTCAGAGCTTGTGCTCTCATGCACACACTACAGTCCCCATAAAGGGCTGAGATATTCATAACTTCTGGTAAACTGGCCCTATGAGATGTCACACTTTTAGTAAGGTACCAATTCAATGCCTTAAAAAAATGCAAGCAGAATGCAAATCTACACTTGTGTACAGAGCACTGTCTATTAGCATGAATCAACAGAAAACTAGCTAGTGTAGATATATTTTTAGCAGGTACATGGACCCTTCTTGGGGACCCACTAAATCTATATTTCTGGTGGATGCATATCATTTTTAAAAATTGTATGCGCACCATAAATGAACATGCAGGGAAGCCACCGCCTCTCGTAAGTCTGCTGGATGGCATTCAAGGCTAGTCCTACCCAGAGTAGACTTGTTTATAATAAGGAAGCAGTGTTAGTCATTCTTATTAACTTCATAGAATCACACAGTTGGAAGGGACCCTGAGGGTCATTAGTCCAACCCACTGCAATGCAGGAATCTCAACACATGATCCCAATTTGAAACCATACTGGACCCTGCTTAGCTTTTTAAATGTGCTAGCAGTTTTAATGCTCCACCACTAGGAGGACAAAAACAGTGAGCCTACTCTGAGTAGGACTAGCACTGAATGCCTCCCATTGTTTGGTTACAGTGAAATATAATGCATGAAGTAGTCCCAAGGTCAGCCCTGCTTTTTGATGACTTAAGCTAGATCAGCTTCACCAGGTGGTGCCTGTTTCCTCCTCTGTAACGCGGGTCATTTGTTCTTTCTTTCCAAGCAAGCTCTGTATTAATATTTGCAAACAGCTTTGAAAAATGTAAACTGTTTAATGGAAGGCAGTTAACGGTAATAGATGCTGCTTAGGAGGGAGGAAAAAATAACAGCACACATTTTTAAAAAAATCTATGTATAAAATTCTACCTCACTTTCTGCAACACTCTAAGCTAGCTGCCGTAACAATCAATATATCAAATCAATAAAATATCATAAAATAATTCACAACCAGAAATATATTAATTAAACTATATTAAAATATTTAATACACAAAACAACTCAGCTCAGCAAAGACCAAACGTAGCCTTTATAAAATACCATTAACTGCCTCCCTAGGAAGAAATACCTTAAATTGTTTCTTCATTGTTCCTATAGGGTGAAGAATGATGGTTTAGGAACTCGCTGAATACAGATAAGGCTCTGATGGTTATGAAAACAGTCAGTGAACTGTGTCTCTAACAGGAAATCCTTGTATATTTCTTTTTTAGCAGTCTCCTGGGATTTATGTCGTGAGCTTCTTCAATCTTTCCCCAGGGGCTGACAGCCTTGTTTGTGTATATTAACTCAACCCTGTGCAAGAGAACTTTTGCAGCCACAGCAGAGTCCTTTCTTCCCGCAGTCAGCCCCTTAAAGAGTTTACTCTGAAAGTCAGTCAATCAGTCCATCCCACAGCCGTCCAGAGCCATAAACAGGGATAAATAGTAATTAGTATGGTAAATAGTTTGGCCCTGTGTGTGTGTGTTCTGGTTACAGTATCATGGTAATTACTGCTGGCTCCCTGCCTGAGTCTTCCTGCCGCCCGATTTCGCGCTCTACACAGCCTTGCCAGCCTGATTAGTACTGGACTCATGCGAATTGGCAGTTTACTTTCAGCTGTCTCTTCTGCTCACTCACCAGGAGGCCAGGCATTTGCCCAGGTGTGTTGCAGCGTGCTGAACGCAGGGCCTGGTCCACGCTCATTGCGGCTGAACAGAGGCTTTTTTCACATGCATCTGAGCTCTGCTTCAAACGTTTGGGAATTGATGTTCTTAGACTGTCTGCCGTGTAAATAAGTCCAATTCACTAGCTAGCCCATTAAAAAAGAAATCAGCACCTGTACCTATTCTAATAACTTGTGGTACAGCAAATCCCTGAAATATATATAAGACTGACTTTGTTTCCATCTCCCACTTCAGCCAGCCTGCTCTCAGTGCCTATAACAGCCTCACTCTCTCTTAAGGTAGCCCTCCAGAAGTGCTTCTCTGACAAACCCTTTCCTGAACCACTTAGTGGCTCCACGGTCAATGGTTTGACTCCTCTCTGCCAGTCTTTAACATCTTTCTGATCACTGTCTTGGTAATTATGTAAAATCTTTAGGCAAGGACACTGTCACTTTCTGGCTCAAGACAGCTTCATATCCTACTTATGTAGCGAAATGATAGTCCACAGAACTTAGCACTGTTGACATGGAGAAAGGAACATATTTATTTACTTATGTATTTATTTGCCAATCATTTGGATCCTAATCCACTGGTAAAGTCTCCTCCGGTCCCTTTGAAATCAGTGAGACTTGTTTTTAAAGGTTTTGTGTAGGGGAACTTGGTTAACTGTGCCCTCCCACTTTATACAGGCCATCCCAGGTATAGATGGCATAAGGTAGATATGCTATAAGAAAAGTGAGCCAAAACTACAAGCCTGCAAAGCACACACACCTATGGGAAAGGGTCAAGTATCCATTTAGTGTGGAACTGTCATCCTTCATTCACTTTTGACAGAAAATCCAGTCATTTTCAAACCATTGCATTCCAGTGTTTCATCTCTTCTCACACCATTGCTTTTCAGACTACTGTGGTTATTCCCCGCAGAAACCCTTAAAATGCAATTGCCCCACTAGTTTATGCAGTGTTAACTGACAAAGCTCTATTGAGGTCATTCAGGGCTACTGTACCTTTAATTAGAAGCTTCATCTTTGCAGCTTCTGCTTCTGTTTGCTTCCTGTATAGCAGGGCATTGTAATGATGAAATGCTTCTTAATTTGTCCACTTCTGTTCCTCTGAGAGTTTGTTTCCCCACTCATCCTGAAACTGTACTACTTTGCAACTAAAGGGAAAAAATGCTTCAAGTTGCAGCAGATATTTGCTGAATGAGACTTCTGAGTAAAACATTGCTAAAGGAACTTAGCTATGGGGAAGGGCATTGTTGGATGATATAGAACTAAGTTGATTGTGAAAATACAGTGTTTTAGCAACACTAAAGGGCCCTAGCGTGGTAGCAGCCAATAAGGTCTTACCCGGTGATTCAAGGCCTCTCTATTCTGGGGAAGATTTTCAAGGCCCAGCAAATTTTATGTGAGATGTCTTATTTGCCTCTCTCTACATCTGGGGGAATTTTGCTCTTGTGAATACAGCATCATCCTGAACCCTCCTTTTAAAAAATTCTATATGTATCAAGAGTTACCAGCTAGTTATTTTCTAGCAGGTAATCCTACCCTCTATTTTTTTGTGACAGGTCTCCCTAGGCATTTATTGGATGGAGCCATATGTGAAGGCAACTGAATAAACTGAGCTGAAGCTGAAGTGTGCCAAAACAATTGTACAAGCCTGATTAGTTTTCAATGAGTTTTTGAATAGATTTGGGAGTGAAGTAGGGAGAGGGGATTAATCAGTGAGTAGGTTGGCTAGGTCTCCCTGCTTGTTTTAAAAGGCAAGACGACCCCAAATAAGGAAAGGATCTGGTGACAAGTACCCTGAATCCATTCATTGGGGTCTCCATAATATGTAGGTTAGATCTCTGTGCTTGTTTGTGATCCAGCAACTGCACCTCACAGTTGCATATAAAGTGTTAAGAACAGAACAGCCTGCTGAATCAGTCCAGTGGCTTGTCTGGCTCAGCATCCTATTCTCACAGTGGCAGACCAGATGCCTGTGGGAAGCCTGTGAGCAGGAC